TCTGTTAACATTTCCGCATAATGCTGGTCAGTTTTAAACCCTGCGTAGGTTTACATGAGATTTATTTTCCTGATGTAGTTTGCAAGCATATTAATGACCGAATTTCATGCATCTTGAAAAGAATCATCGTCAGAAAAGTAAATATTTCCAGAGTTTTGATTCAAACGAAATGTCAATTTGTCTGATTCATACTATTAAAAACAATAATTATCATCAATTATTATAACATGTAAACTAACTGTCAGTGAAGTGTTTGTCGACGAAATGATTGTCGATGAAGTAGACGCGACTGGATTAAAAAAAGGGTATATATTTCTTTCGTGAAATAAGAATAATAAATGATTATTATTACGTATTTAGTTTGCGGTGACTAATACAAATCGTAACTTTCACACTGATTGATATATTAATTGTAGAAAGTATTCTAAATTATGAAGTTTTATTCCAGTACGAGAATTGGTAGCCATACTTGTGTAATAAATAATAAAGTAGCAGTATCTGGAGTTCGATTGTTATTAAAGGAAGTATATGGGAATGAAGCTTTATTTTACAATTTTTTCATATTAATCTTTATTTCATTCAATTTAAATATATAAAATCTTTATATGAAGTGAAATTTTTTAGTGAATTTCACCTAGTCAAATTTGATTATATATGTCGCTCTCTCTCTGTAACAGGATCTTTAGCTTTCGGTTTGGATCTCTAATCAATAATTTTTCTTATCTAATTTAGATAGTAATAGTGAAAAGGGAGGATTCTATGGATTTTTAATTCAAGAAATTATTTCGCTTACACCATTCATTAAGTTCATTTAAAAATGTCAAAAGTAGTGATAACGTAATTACCTGTTTAAATTATAATTAGTTATACTAATGAAAGAGACATTTCATATACACAATCAATGAATTATATATATAAAAAACGAACGTGTCATTGATTTTTCCTCAGTAAATAAATAATTCAATTTCTACAACTAAAACACAAACTGAATACGAACAATTTGATCAATTCTCGGGAAAAAGTATAAAAAGATATCATTAATATCCATCGATCTATTAGATTTACTAATGAGATGTAATAATTAAAGGTTATTTTAAATCGTTCATCGTTTATTTTTTTTACAAACAATCAAACCATTTATCATAATACAAAATATTTACTTTTGATTAATTTAGCAATTATTATTATCGATTAAGAGAATATATATAAATACCCTGACTTTTTTTTTTAATCGTTCCACTCTTTTACCTCGTTCCCTATTTTAATTATTAGCATTAATAATTATTATAACATATTTTAAACGACCACAATATTGTCAATCACTTTGTTGTTGCTTTCATTTAACAGAAGTTTTAAGTATTAATGGTTTATAATCATTAGCAATGACCATAACAAACCTACAGTGTGTCTAAAAAAAAATGGTGGTCACAAAAATATCACATATCTCAACAATTACATAACATAGTTAAATAAAATTGGATTCATTTGAAAGCTTTATCATTTACTTTATTAAATAATAAAAAATAAACAAGAAATACTATTGCCAATTTTCTGTAAAGCTAATTCATATATTTTTTTTAGAACTTTGCTAAATTTTTGTCTCTGAAATTTTAACATGGAATTTTTTAACGATAACTCTGACACAAGCATATACATAGTAATTATACAAAAAATTATACCAGTCTGTAGCAAAAATTTTGGAGATTATGTATATAAAGTTTCACACTTCCAGATTTTCTAGACTTTTATCAATTGAAAATAGGAATTTGATTATTTGAAAAAACCATCCAAATGTGTAAATTTCTTTAATGATTGCTCTAAATCCTACATGACAATATACTTCAAAATTTTTCTATCTTATAATCTAAGATCTTCCGATTCTCTGGTATAATTTTTATTACATAATTTTTGGCTACTTTTTCATTAAAAACAATATTTTACAAACCACCATTTTTTTTGAGACACAGTGTAAATTTTATACGAGCACAAAATGTGTCAGATTTACGTATTAATATTATAATTGTGTAAATCTTGTTAAAAAATTCAACGGGAGTACTGTAAATATATTTTTTTAGATCTTCGTCACTCCAACTAGAAGATGGGTGAAGTTCAAATTCATCATCATTGGTATTTTGTCTTTTGATATTGTTATCATTACTATTCTGATGGTACTGATGACACTTGAAAATAAGTTATCAAAGATTTTTGTTGCTTATTTTTACACCTACTTATTTTTGACATGTTTATCTAAATATCATATCTATTCAGGGCATCGCATATGCACTCTGCTAATTTTGAATTTTTAATTCATACACATTATGGATGTTGGTTTGAGCGAGTATTATCATATTTCCAACCCATTTGGAAATTAAAAAACTTTAGTTGGCCAAGCCAGCCAAGAACTCGTATAAATTTTCCATCTTGGATAAATATATTTATATTGAATTACCAAAAAATCGATTAATTTTATTGTTTATAAAATTTTATCAATATTATGAATAATATTTTTACCAAGTCTGTTTCTTTTCTT